CTGAGCCATCCTACCTTCCTCTTGTCAGAACTTTCCTGCCACCTGGGATTTCCTCCTATATCATCTGAATAACAAAGCTGTCATCTTCACAGCATTCACATACCTTCAACATAAAACTGCTGAATTTCTAATGTTTGTGCTCTCTCAAGCCATACACAGAGTAATTTACCCTGATATTTTATCCTTTTTCATACAAGCTCCTCACATACCTCTCTTCCAGACACACCATTTCTCTGTCTCATAATGGGATCAACAACTAATATGTAAAGAAATAAGTTACAATGCATTATGATGGCCTCAAATCATAAGATTAAAGGTTTCAGTAACAATGTAGGTTGAAATTCTGCTACAGACCCACTTGAACAAGGAGAAAGGGAATGCCAGAATGCCAAGTGACAACTACCAAAAAACAAGTTCCTAAGTGTATCAATTGTTTATTATTTATCACTCACTTAAGCTGATCTTTGGGGAGTGAGGGAAATTTCAAATAACCAACAATTTTCTAGAGGTAAGAGTCACATTGTTTGCAGGGGAAAGAAACAGCTGGAAAGGACTGATAAAGTCTGCCACCCTATCAGTGCCCAAGAAAGTTCAGCCACCCAACTGCATCACCCACAGAAAATAGATGCTTTTTTCTTGTACCAGTAAGAATGGAGTAACTCACTGCTCATGTTGCAGTGGAAACTCAGCCAACTAAGCCTGCCAGACCATGCCAACCAAATGTTCAGTGGCCATCATCTCTGAAGAAGGGATTTCACACCACAAGGGCAACAGGGCACCAAACAGCCAAGATAGCATTTACAAACAAAAGATCCTGATCTGGAGATGCAAGTCACAAGTCCACCAGAGAGAAGGGTTTTGTGAGGAGCCATTAAAGAAGAGGTATCTTCCCAGAAGTCCGGGAAGTATTCTAGGCATAACAGTGACTCTGGTTGAACTCTATAATAGGTGTTTGTTTTGTATGTAGTACTCCAGAGTCACCTGCTCTTCCTCACTTTCACCAACACATGGTTACGAGTAAACAATGGGGTGCCATTCTAAGGCGCTAGAATAATGGAGTTTCCACTCCAGGGCTGAGGATAGGCCTGGCAAAATCAGTCTCAAAGGAGACTGGGCAACAGGTGTCAGTTGCCATTATAGGCAAGGTGGGGGGCAGAAGCAAGCAGAAAGCAGTTGATTGTTAAAAGGAAGGATCTGAAGATGTGTTGGAGGTTATGAAAGGGGCACTCTTGCCCCCCAATGTCAAGAGAAGGGCAGCAGTGCACTTGGCACAGAGGGAATATGGGTGGCACCTTCCTGCTGAAGGAGAGGGCAAAAACTGTACCACAGCAAATCCAGCCATCATCAATGGCCAAAGCAGGAATGACACGCTTTAGACCACTTTTTGAGTGGTTTCAGGAATACGAAGGAGCTGGGCCCCTCATGAAAGCTCATCAGCCCCTTACACTGTGACTTTTGATGGCTTTTCTAGTTATTTTTAAAATGGTATTGCCCTTCCTAGCCTAGAAGCACCTCAGGCCGAGCAACTGGCAATGAAAGCGATCCCACTTAGATATATAACAATCAAGAACAAAAAAATATACGAGGGGCAGGATAGGCGACACTAGGGAGGAAGGGGGCTAGAAGCACGAAATGGGGTGGATTTGACAAGAGGGGCATTGCCAGGCAAGCATCTCCTCGTGGGTTTGGGGGGGGGTGGAGCCAAGGTTGGCAAAAAGGGGCGCTTGGTTGAGAGGGTGCCCCTCTGTTACTTCTTTTTATATATAAAAAAGTGGGAACTAAGAAGAGATAGGAGGATGTTGCCTCTGAGCCCTGAAAACCAAAAGTACCAACCCACACACAACGCGAGCTTCTTAGAGTGGGGTGGGGGAAGGACCCAAAGGTAATACTAATAGAAAGCAGCAATTTTTAATTTTTTATTTTAAAAGGAGGGGGGTGAGAACACTCTAAGGAGGGAAGGACGCTTCGGTCGACCTGCGAAGGAAGGCAGCAAAAAAGCAAAATTACTCAGCAATGGGGGAGGACAAGGGGAGTCTGGGGAGAGTCCTGCTGCGCCCACCGCCCCAGGGAAGCACCTACCTGGGTGTGGGCGGGGGCCGCCTCTCCGCCGGCAGAAGAGGCTCCCCGCTTGCCCCCCACCTTCCTCCGGGCTCGCCTGCCGCCCCTCGCCCTCCTTCTCTCTCTCCCTCTCTCTGCCTCAACGCCTGGCGCTGGAAATCAGCTGACGGGCTCCTCCAGCTGCCGCGACTCCCGCTGCAAGTGTCGCAAAAGGCCCGGGCGGCGCTTGGCGGCAGAAGGGAGGGAGGGGGAGGCCTCGTTGCCCTGGAGACGGAGCAGCGACCCGGCCCCCGGCGCGCTTCCCTGCGGCCCTCGCCTGGCGCTGCGCGGGGAGATGCGCGCGGTGGGTGCAGAGGGTGCGGGGTTTAAGGCAGCAGGAGGAATACGTGGGGGCGAATGCGTGCAAATCACGCAGGTGGTGTGCTAGTTTTGTTGCAAAAGGCGCTCAGTCGGGGGCTTAACTCTTCCTCCTGCCCAGGTAAACCTGCGAAGTGTTGCAGCCTTATCATCATCATTATTTATTAAATGTATCTGTCGCCTTTCTTCCCCATTTGCAAAACTAACAAAAACAATAACCTCCCCCCCCCCATCATAGTATTGGAGGGTTGGAAAGGGACCCTGAGGGTCCTCTAGTCCAGCTCCCTAAGAATTGGTCTCTGCTTATGCCAAATGTACTGCAGTGACTACATTATTACATGAGCACTGTTCCACAGCGTTTGATATTTTCATTTACACACATTCATTCGAAATAAGATGGGTTCTATATCCTCCCACCACGCTGACAAAGAATTCTATGAAACAGTAGTCAATATCCGAAATCACTGTTCAGTGTTGGACATCATATTTGCTGAATACACAAAGCTTCACAGCTTATCTTTCATCGTACAAAGTCTGGTACCTCGCTTCATTTAAAGATTTTCAGATACTTTGAGACTAAAGATTTCATTTTGTACCTGTTCTGGTTTGAAGGAATTTTATAAAGATTGTCTATTGCGTATGTACATGGTCATCATGTTGCCTGGACATTGCTGACGTTCTCTTTGCAGCACAGGGGTTTGTTTGGTTACTTCCTGTGGATTACACAGCGAGGCCAAGCAACTTGTCTGGGCAGCCCAGGACCTCCATGCATACAGGGTTGCGCCCCAAAGAAGTCACTTACTTCACCCCCAAAGGCGCACTCATCCATTGTCTCCTAACAGAGGGATGGAAGTTCAGGCAAAATACAGGACAGGGCGGGACAGTTGGGGGGGGATTTTTTTTTCCATCTGGTGCTGAAGTGACTTCAAAGCAATCCATTACAATTTATTGCAGATTAACAGGACAGCCCCTGTGGAATTCCTCTCTCACACACGTGGGCATAGCCAGGATTTTTGTTAGGAAGGGGCAGGCCTTTTGTTAGAGGGGGACAGAACCTCCGTTTGCTATGTATTTTTTATTATTATTGATTGGGGGGGCAGCTGCAGCTCCCTGCCCCCCACCCCCCCTGGCTATGCCCAAGCACAGACACAAATACACACAAATTTGTAAATCTAGTCTGTGCTTGGCTACCCAGACTTTAAATACATGACATTTCACATACCCTTTCAAATACATGTATTTGGAGAGGATCCCTAACTTGGCAGTGTGTGTGAGAAAGACCTGAAATACAGGACTGTAGTTAAGTGGTAATCAGCTCTGTTCAAGTTCAGTAGGACATCTAAGTGATGCATAGGTTTGTGGTCCCTCCAGGTGTTCCATTTTATTTTGCGTTCATAATGATTTGTGTTCGTGATGCTATAGGAAGGTCACACTTTCTATACTGCCTACAGAAGTTCTTGAGGCGCTACCACTCCTAACCCCGCAAATGTTCAGCAGGAGTGGGTGGCTCACTGGAATGAATGGCACTTAAGTCAATTATTGGCCCATAGATTTCAGTGGGACCTTGGTGTCATTGCAACTCTATGTGCATTTACTTCAGATGACCTCAAGAAGCATTGATTTAAAAACAAAAAAACGCCGCACAACAACACACAACTCTGCAAGGCTATGCTAGTGAATCGGTTAGATCCATAAATCCCTCGATTTGGCCAGCAGCCTATCCCTACACTGCAGGCAGTTGGACTGGATGACCCTTAGGATCCATTCCAACTCTGCAAATTATACGATTCTAGTTCCTAACTTTCAGGATGGGAGATGAAATATACTGGGAGTCGGGTGTGGATTTCATGCTCTTTATTCAGCTTATAGTAGCGAGGAATGAATGTTCCCCCAAAATATCTGCTTTATATACATTCTTTACACAATGGGCCCCACGTGATTGGCTAATTCCGAGATTCTCCTGTAGGCCAATCAGGTTGTGGATTCACTTCCACCTGGAGCTGGATCGGGTGGCTCCTGCGGACCAATCATACTGCTGCATTGTTATAGGACGAATCAGACTGCTGCATTTTGGATCCTATTCAACTCAGTACATAACAGGAGGGTGTCGGGTATGCACAGAACCGGAACCAATGCAGCCACCCAAGCTTCCCCCACTTCCGCGAGCCCTGAACTACGACGGCTGCCCTGAAAAGCCAATCACTTCCGCCCGCAAAGGTCACCAAGCGGCAAGGCTTGTCAACCAATAGCGCTCCTCCCCGAAGCCGGAGGTCGCACTTTGCCCTTCTCCAAGATGTCACCGGCGGAGTCAAGCGGGTAAACCCATAGAAGTGGAACCACAACAAAAAAGTCACCCAACGCCGCAAGCACTACTACCGGCGCAAACCCGAACTCTTTTTGTTATCCCCAGTGCAAAAGACGAAGCAGCGTCGTGTGCGCTTGTAAGGGGGGAGGGGAGAGAGAGGGGAAGGTTTACACCATAGAGTCGTCGAAGCCTAGAGCGCCCAACAGAGACTCGCGACCAATGGCGGCTTTCGCCCGTTGGTTAAAGTCTCTCAACCGGAAGTGTGAGCCGCCGACCCCTCCCCTCTCCCTAGGCGCGTGAACCTGGATGAACTCTCAGCCGAGGGTGCCTGAGAGGAGGAGGAGGAAGGCGGAAGAAAGGGATGGCCGGGGCCGTGTGCGCCTGCGCGGGAGCGGTGCATGCTGGGCGCGGCCGGCCAGCCTCTCGCCCCGCCCCGCCCCGCCCGCGCTCCTTTTCTTCCCGCGGTGACTTTGCACTTACCGGGCGTGTTGCTGCCGCCGCCGCCGCCAGGATGGTCGGGGTGAAGGTGATCGCCAACGACGCGGACTTCCAGAGCGAGCTCAGCGCCGCCGGCTCCCGGCTAGTCGTGGCCAAGTTCACCATGAGGGGGTGAGTAGGCAGGGCCCCTTCGGGGACCCTTCGCGCGTTCACACGAGCGGACACGCACACGTGTACGGCTCCCTCTCTGAGGGAAAGGGGGGGCTCTCCTCCCCCCCCAGCCCCTCACAAGGGGACGGGAAAGGCGTTATCCCCATTGTATCACCACGTTCAGGTTTTAGTTTAACGCAGAGCTGTGTGGGTCCGAGGTTGTGCCTGTTTATGGGATGTTATTTGGATGGGGGGGGGTGTTGTTGTTGCTGCTGGCTTTCTGTAGCTTTATTTTAGGTTTCCCTGCGATTCCTGTAGGAAATTGCTCGGTTCGGTTTCGCATTTAAAAAAAACAACTTACAACGTAGCAAAAGTAGCCAGAAACAAAAAAGTAACTATGTATTTTCTTCGTTTTAAGCCGCCTTGAGCATGGTTTGATGGAGGCATACAAATAAATGTGTAGGCATGTATTTGTTTTATTTGTTTTGTAAGGTGTGTACACAGCTTGATTAAAAAACAAAATTTCAAAGCGGTTTACGAGAAAGATAAGACGTTAAAACCCAGGGAATTATTTTTTAACAACATACAAAAGTTAAAACACTGAAATAAATAACAGTTAATTTGACTTTCTAAGCTTGCTCATTCATATTATTTAAAAGGCAAATATGTTAACCAGTTGTGATGAATTCAGTGACATGGGCAGCTAACATGCCTCCCCCTGGGATCTGAAGCAAAATTGTCTGAGGCTATATACTGTATATGGTTCCTTTTTCTTTGCATAGCAAATGATTTCTTTTCCTAAGCACACAAATCTTATACGTAAGGCCCATTCAGGTCAGTGGGACTTACTCATAGGTAAGTTAGTCACAAAGTTGCAGCAGGAGGGTGTGATAGTAGAGAAAGCATATTATCCATTACAAACGGTGAGAATAGATCTTGAGGTAGGGGGAGATGTACTTCATGGTTGTTGTTTGCGCTGTTTTGTTTTGTGACTAGGTGCACCAACTGGAGCTAAGTGCGAAATAGTGGCTGGGAACGGCATAACATAGTTTTAACATTAAGGCTCAAAGTGCCTTTCAGTGCATGTTCAGTCCAGTAATTCATTTTATTTCCAGAAGTCTCATTGCAAACAAGTTCATTGCTAGTTCTCCTGTTGACCATATATTGGGAGGACAGTTCTCTCTTGCCCACTTTCCTGACAAAATCTGAAGTGAACAAGAAGCCATTGATATATTCTGATTTTTGTGTGGGTCTGATTTCACTAGTCTCGCCAATTATCACACTTCTTTAATTTTTAATTCACTTTGTAAAAGAACATAATGAAGCAACAGGTTCAGAAGCAGGAAGAAGCCCTATTGAATATGGTGTTCATAATGCCAGCATCAACAGGTGAGAGTTCTGTGGGATAGTCCTCACAACTTGAACCCTTTTCAGGTCTGCTTCACACATTACAGAATTTCTGTTAGGAACAGTATGCAGCCTGCCTTTACATAGTCACTGTTAGCTCATGTGTTGCAAGCACATGCACGTGTAGGAAGCTTGCCACCATCACAGCTGAGTTGTGTGACAGCAAGTAAGCAGCATGTAGTTTCCTGTGCAAAACCAAAGTTTTGTGGCATGACCCAGATAGGGAGCAGTTGGGGATGAAGGGAGAGGGAACAGCTTTTCAAAGCTGCCTACCCCAATAAGCACATAGTTGAAATGGTATTCACTGTCATTGTTTTATTTACTCTGCCTTTTAGGGCAAGCCCTCCCAAGCCCTATAGCAATAAAAATGCAGCCATTGAACAAACAGCATAAAGCAGACAAAACAATCTCTGGGGGTCCAGCAATAAAATCAGTACAAAGACTTGGCAGAATTTTTAAAAAGACCTTCTGGTTTGCTTAAAGCCTGCAAGAGGGAGGGCTAAGCTGTGCTTTTGGGTGACAGGATTTCCACAAAGTGATATCTTTACATCTGCTGGGCTCTGCTTCAGAGTTCTAGCCTGAGCTGCTGTTTCTCTGTAGAGTCGTCATCATTCCCCAGATTCGTTATTACTTTGTCTTTCTCTGGGAACTAAACCCACACCCTCATTTGGGTTTCAGTGATATCTTGTGACTAATTGCTGTACTTCCTGCTTTGGAAAAGAATGCTCCTTTTGCAGTGAGTAGGAGATATTCTGTAGGTGAAATCCTGGATTCATATTCTGGTTTGAGAGAAAATTGCAGTACGCCTCACGGTAAACCATAGTTATCACTAACTTGGAAAGTGGAGAAATAAGGAGTATATATGCACAAGGTTTGGAGGAGGACCATGTGTGTTTGTAGGAGTTCCCAGTTGCTAAACTACAGTTTGGCAATTAGAAATAAGACACTTGAATAGATCTGATTCATTAAGTTGGTGTGATGGTATAGAACAGTACACAGTCCAAAGTTGTCAGTTTGGTTGGGATTATAACATCACACAGGGTAGTCTAAGGACTGGGAAATGTTCTTTGACATGGGAAAACTAAGTGAAAAGGGAACGCAAACAAGTATGGTCCTGAGGAAACAAGGAATGAAGGCGCTGTAAAGGATGCGGGTGGTGCTGTGGGTTAAACCACAGAGCCTAGGGCTTGCCAATCAGAATGTCGGCGGTTCAAATCCGCTCGACGGGGTGAGCTCCTGTTTCTCAGTCCCTGCTCCTGCCAAGCTAGCAGTTCAAAAGCACGTCAAAGTGCAAGTAGATAAATAGGTAGCGCTCTGGCGGGAAGGTAAACAGCGTTTCCGTGCGCTGCTCTGGTTCGCCAGAAGTGGCTTAGTCATGCTGGCCACATGACCCGGAAGCTGTACGCTGGCTCTTACAGCCAGTAAAGCGAGATGAGCGTCGAAACCCCAGAGTCGTCTGTGACTGGATCTAACAGTCAGGGGTCCCTTTACCTTTTAAAGGACTTGAAACAAAACATCACATGTGACCCATCAACAGAAGTGGGATCCGCTGTACGTTACAAAGAAGGAGCATATGGGCAATTGGTTTGCCACTCTAGACCTTTTCATGGCAATTTGGGCAGTTGTGGTTTCTGCTATTGTTGCAACTAGAGCCAATCAGCATTGACATGCGTGAGTTAGAGAAAGGTTCACTTGTTTATTTAAACCAGCCAACCAACTGTTGGGTTGCAGATTTCTAGTTATTCATTTAATGTTTGTTCATTTGCTGGCAGTCTGTGTAACAGGCAGAAGGGAATAGCAGGTATTACTGGGTGGATCAGTCAGGGTGGGGCAACTTCAGTAGGACCCGAAGAAATAATATCACAACTAGTATGTCAACTGTCACTGGTACTGGATGTATTTCTAAACAGCTGAAGACGGTAGCCCTGTAATAAGTTTTGGAAAGTTGTAAGGTGCCACGTGCTTGCACCTAATCTTAACTGCGATTGAACCTGATCAGAACTCATTTGGTACCAGCTTTTGCCATGTTGCATGAGAACAAACTAACCAGCAATAGTACTGGTTAGCTGAGCATTATTGGCCATGTGAGAGAGCTAATTCTTTCAGTTTTAAAAATTAGTAAGGTGGACTGAAAGGATGGCTAAACTGGTAGCTAGGGTCTGAATTTGCCTCGTGCTGGTACTTTTCTATATTCACTAGATTTTGATTGGACTTGTAGAAATATTATTTTGCTGCCCCACATTTCATCTTGAAATTATTGGAGGTATCTGTTGGCTTCTAATCAGTTTTTAAATGAAAATAGGATAGAGCTACTAGTGAGATGGTCACCTGCTATTTGACGATATTAGGCCACAGTCAGATTTTGTAAGGAGCCAAGAAGATGGTGGTACCCAGCTTCCTTCGCTGAATCATCATATCCTCTGATAGTGAAGGTATGGAGGAAGGATTGCCCTTTCTCCCTACCATAGCCATGGTGTCTTGTGTGACAATTTTTGATGATTTCTCATGGAGGCTATCTCTTGGGGTCGTCAACAAGATCCAAGATGAACTTTTGTATCTCTTGACAGTTGCTTATGTTAGCTACATCATAATACCTTGGCCTTCATAATGGTTAACTGTATTAAAGTACTTGGCCATTATTCGATGGTGATTGTCTGGTTAAATAACAACAACAGCAACAATTTATTATTTATACCCCGCCCGTCTGACTGGGTTTCCCCAGCCACTCTAGGTGGCTTACAGCACACAAGAAATTGTAAAACATCAGACATTAAAAATTTCCCAATGCAGAATTACCTTCAGCTGACTTTGGTTTTTTTGTCAGATGTCTAACCCTCCACTGAAATATGCTATCTTGTTTTTCACTGGGACCCGTTCTGTTGTGACTACAGGAATAGATTTCCATTTTAATCAGTATAGTTCTGCCCTCCCTGATTCCACTATGTAAATAAGTGCCAACTCACAGAATACTTCTGTCTTGCCTACAATAAGTTCTAGAGGGAGAAGCCAGAATTGTGATCAAGCCCTGTAAAGATAGAGAATTTGTCCTAAATCCCCTTATTAACTGATGTGAAGTTTTCAGAGCTGTCTCTTTGGTTATGCCCTTTTGCAGTATTGAACTGTTGTGATTGGTAATTTTCTGTAGCAAAGTCATTTTCTCTGCAGTCACCTTTTACAGTGGAAAATCAGTAGGACATCATTGGTGTCATCCACTGGCAGAGAAACTGTTGACAAACATACTGAATATGGCTAAGCTTATTATCCTGACCTACAGAGGTCTGTATAGTAGAGAGACCTAGTAGTTTGGGGTAATTGAAATTCTCTAATGCTGCTAGCAATAAGCTTTAAACACAGACGTAAGTGCTAGTTATAACCAAATTGCCCCTTTCCCAAATAATGGTTTGGATACTTGAGCAGAGAGTATGTCATTGTAAATAAGGAATGAAAGGTGGGGAAGCAATGAGAAGTGATGGTGCTGGATTGCTTTTTCTGCTGATGGGAGAACATATTTTGCTCAAGCTGTGTTTTCCATAGAATTCTCTTCCCATGCCGGTCAGTTTGATAAGAGGCCTTTGGGACAGACTGAGGTATTTCAAGGTCAGTGTAATTGTGCATTTTGCTGAGATGCTTTGTTGATGGATGGTTTCATTTTTAATATTATGACTATGTATTTTTACTATTATTGTATTTTTACATAGCCTGTAACTATACGGGGTGAATAGATGAAGAGCAGATTCAAAGTTGATTAAGCAATAAACAAATAAAATTGTGTTCTTGTCTAATTACTGAAGCTGCTTGTGATGTTTTTCTTGCACTACTTTTGCCTTTCTCCCTCCTTGTAATGGATAGATTAGAACATAGTCATGTTTCTTTGCTGACTTCAGGGGAGAGGGAAATTACAATTTTTCTCTTTTTTTTAGTCAGGCTCTGCACAGTTGTTTGTATTCAGGAATGTGAAGTAGGAACATAAAATATTGGAATGGTGTGTATGGATCCCCCACCTTGGCAGCTGCCAGCATAAAAATAATTTCCCTTACTCTTGAGTTATCAACGTATTGATTAGGGTCTGGGGAGACCAGAAGCAATACAAGTCTTTTGCACTCTTTCTGCTTTCCTCTGAAGGAGGGCGGAAGATGAGCTATCCACTCTTCCCTCCCGCTGAATTCTCTGTGCAAATCGAATGACTTTGGGAGGACAGGGAGGGAATTGGTGCCATTCACAAATAATGGATTGCTCAGTTAAGTGGAGCCAAAATCTGCGGCTCCTTGACACTGGAAATGTGAACCTAGCATGGAGAGAAGTATTTAATAATCAGAAATCAGAAATGCTGTGTTGGTGTTAGTGTGTGTGCAAAGTGGGCCACAGAAATATTTGTATGTGGGGTGTGTGAGAGAGAAGATGCAAATTGTCACAACTCCTTTCCTATGCTTGCTTTTGTAAGTCTTGGAATGAGGCAAAAGGTGCTGTGTTGTACTCTCCAGAGAGCAATGTATTTTAATAAGCAAGAATTATTACATCACTAGAAAGCTGGATGTTTACTTACAGCTTGGGGAGTATTCTTTATGAGAACCATTAAGTTCTCATGGTTTTCTAGTTACCTATAGTCCCCGAGCACCGTGGAGTACACAAATTATGAGATGTGTTTCTAATGCCAAGCTTTGAGTCAGTTTTCTACGAAAGGGTGATCACTGTGGGATTGCAATTGAGTATAAAAGGATTTTGCTTTACATAGGCTAACCTGTATGCTTTCATTATGCATTTTGCTGAGAAATGATGATGTAGTCAAGTTGACTTGAAAAAGTGTCGGATATCAATCCCCTCGGTCTGAAGCTAGATGTTTTGGCGATTGCATGCAACCAGTGCCAAAAGCAGAAGCCCTGCATCTCCTCTAGGGCTGGGCGATATAGCAATAGTCCATATCGTGGTATCGGTTTCATAATTTTTGACTTGGCAATATAGCACAAATCATGATGTGTGTGTGTATGCTATGCAAAAATCACAATGTGGGAAAAACTGTGAAGCCAGCCAATGCCTCTACATAGCTCCATCCTTATTTCAGACGTTGTAATATATCAGTATATTGCAATGTTTAGCTGGTGATATATCACAGAGTTGAAAACCAGATATCTCCCAGCCCTAATCTCCTTCCCTGTAACATCTAATAAGCTAAAACACATGTTGTGACTTAGGGTGGCAATGAAACTTACAATGCTGCAGCCAAAGAAAATGGGAGAGAAGGCTAGGTGCATAATGGTGATTTATTTTACACCCCACTTTCCTTCAGCAGAGCTTGATGGATTTCACTTCATACTACTGGAAGGAAGAAGAGATGACAGTGTGAGGGTTGCTGTTCTCAGTACCAGCCGCACAATCTCTGTTATCCTTAGCTGTAGTGGTTCTAGGGGTTGCTCGTGCGTAAGCCGGTGCAAACACCTGGCTGGGTTGCCTGAGTGAACCTTTTCTGTCCGGACAGCCACTCACCCGTGGCTGTCTCAATCGCTGGCAGAATCCGTCAGTGGGCGTTTCTTAAACTTCTTCCAGCAAAGAAGCTCTTTGACGCCTAGTCTCCTCCCACTCTCTCTGCGTGAAAGCCCTCTGCGCAAGGAGGGCAGGGGCAACGGAGGACGCCTACTCTCCCTGCTGGTCCCAGGCAAGGAGTCATGGGACCGCCTCGCCGCTTCCCCCATCTGCCCCCCTTCTCCACTGGTGCTACGCTGATTCTCTTCCCCAGAAGATGGGCTGCCTTTCCCAATCCCGGGACGTTCTCTGGAATCCCTCTGGATTTTGCTCTCTCCCTCCGGCACTGATGGCAGTTCCCTGACATTAGCTTTAGCCTACTTTACCATGTGAATCCCAAGGGGGCTGCAGTTACCTAAGTGGACATACTGATGTGTGTTGTCCTTTTCTTCCCCCTGACAGATGTGGCCCATGTTTAAGGATAGCCCCTGCTTTCAACGCTCTGAGCAATAAATATCCCCAAGCGACATTTTTAGAAGTTGATGTGCATCAATGCCAGGTGAGTAGTGTTTGTGTATGTGTGCATGAGCATGTGTCAGTGAACAAGATTTAACTCCTACAGGTGTATTTTTTTTGATATGTGGGATATAAATGCAGTCCAGAAATAAAATAAATATTTAAAACATTTTTTCTAGAAGCCTGTTGACAATCAGTGGGCACACCTACCTCAGAGGAGGAATAGGCTGTAGATTGTCCTCTAAAAGGCAAGATTGGCATTTATCAGGAGGGGAATGCCATGTAAATGTGTAAGGGTTAAGTTTTATAAGCCTACTGCTTCTCATGTTATTATTGGCAAGAATTTGAGTTATGTGTTGGTAGAGTTCAGGTTTGCTGCTGTGGGTGGAGGTACATTCAGCTGTAGACAGATCTATCCATGATAACCATTCTAATTCAGTGGTTCAAAACAAGCAAGCTGTCGTGTGATGGATGCAATGATCCCATGGTAAATTGGGTCATTTAAATTTTATTTTTTTATTTGAATGTTGTGGTTACATTTATCTGTAGTCTACCAGTTTGCCTATACCAGTGTCTGAATCAAATATTGGCCAGATATAATGAACGTTCGGGGCTTTCTCCTAACTCTCATGATTTCTCCACTGAGATGCAGAGGTGACATAAAACTCCAATCAAATATTATTCAGATTGTATTGCCAAATTTGGAAAAACCTTTTGTAATACAGAGTTGACAGAGCTGGATCCAGAAGGGACCCTCAAACTGCGAAGCTGCTCGTTCAGGGGGAGTGCAATCCCACCCAGGGCAGGCAATTGACCAATTTCTCAGGCTACTTACCCACAGTAGGGGTATTGCCAGGATTCAAGCTTGTGCTGCCTCTCCTAATTCAGATCTTTTTAGAGTACGACACAAATCTTAAATAATCAATATTTCGAGGGTTAGGAATAGAAAGTTCTGCTGAGGTGACATTTTATGATGTGTGACTTGCAGTGGATAGAAAGGTTCAATTCAGCTGGCCTTTTGAGTGACTCCGCTTCAACCCTCTGCAAGCAACGCTACGTTTTTCAGCTGTTAACTTGAAGCCTGGTAGCATTTAATGTCAAATTCTGGTTTCCTAGTGTTGTATAATTTGGCTACTTGGAACGTATTTGGTTTGTTCTTTCTGATATAGACGTTAAATTCATCCAATAAAAGGCTTTTTAATTATGCAGAAGTATTGTTGGCATTTAACAATGCAAGTTGTACCGTAAGGCTTACATTATTAAATTTAAGCCATTAAAAAGCTGTTGTTCATTCGCTCTTTTATGAACAGTATCTTGGGTACATAGTATTAGGAGTCTTATCCTTATTCTCAGTATAGTTATAAAACTTTGGAAAATATCATTTGGTGGAGTTTAATCTTGGGTGGTTTTAACTTAGTGCACAGAGTCTAAAGAAACTTGCGAGTGGTCTTTGAAGCAAAATTTTAAAAAAGAATGTGGCAATACAGTGTTCTTTCCCTAGTTGTGCAGGAGAAAGCTGGCTGTAATAGTCCTTGGCTAAGGCTTAAGCAGGGACGCGGGTGGCACTGTGGGTAAAACCTCAGTGCCTAGGACTTGCTGATCGTAAGGTCGGCAGTTCGAATCCCCGGGGCGGGGTGAGCTCCCGTCGTTCGGTCCCAGCTCCTGCCCACCTATCGGTTCGAAAGCACCCTTAAGTGCAAGTAGATAAATAGGTACCGCTTTATAGCGGGAAGGTAAACGGCGTTTCCATGTGCTGCGCTGGTGCTGGCTCGCCAGTTGCAGCTTCGTCACGCTGGCCACGTGACCCGGAAGTGTCTTCGGACGGCGCCAGCTCCCGGCCTCTTGAGCGAGATGAGCGCGCAACCCTAGAGTCGGTCACGACTGGCCCGTATGGGCAGGGGTACCTTTACCTTTTAAGGCTTAAGCCTGTATCTCATCTCATGTGCGAAAACAAGATTACATATATAGGAATTCTGGCCACATCTAAAAGTGCATGGAAAGATAGTAATAGGATCATAATTCGCTTCACTTTTGTGAGGGGAAGACTTTCAGAGAGCTTTTAAGTCTCGTCTTTGTCTTTCAACAGTGGATATGTGACTCCTGCCTGTCAACTTTTTCACAGTGCTTTCAAAACTGCTGCAAAATTTGACACTTGGCCAGTTCAGATGTAAACTACGTGGCTTAATAAATCATGGCTTATTAAGAATTAGTGTTTCCCTTTGCTCCTCCCTTGCACATCATCTTCATTGTTCCTATCAGGGATTATTAAATTGAGATCATTATGTCTGAACCAGCCCAATGGCTCAATTCAGGCACCATGCCTAACGATGGCGTGATTTTACAAATAATATACAACAGGCAAACAGTGCTTTAGCATGTGCAGAAGTGCTCTATCACGCACGTGCAGTAGCGGCGCCCTACCTACGAACTTTTTGGGGTGCGAACGGCACCCTGAAACTGATCACGTTCTGTAGAGGTACCACTGTATTAAAAAGTCATCATGAACACCTTTTTCTCTGTTGGAGAACAACATAGAAAATCATATTTCCAGTTAGCACTATTTTTGCATGTAAGCAGCAAACATGCTGATAATGATGTTTATGTGGGTGACCTAGGATGATTGGTACTCTTTTGTTCATTAAATACTAAAATCTTGCTACACATTGCTAACCATTGACTTCTCAAATACTAGGGAACAGCTGCAACCAATAATATATCGGCAACCCCAACGTTTCTTTTCTTCCGGAGCAAAGTGCGCATCGACCAGTATCAAGGTGCTGACGCTGCTGGATTGGAAGAGAAAATCAAACAGCACCTAGAAAATGATCCTGGAAATAATGAGGATACCGATATTCCAAAAGGATATGTATGTATATTTTATCTGGATACTATTCTAGTGGATTATTATCTGCACAGTATTAAAAGATTTGCATTTGAAAGGACCCAGAGGATCAGGATGGAGCTTCGAGGCAGGTGCAAAAGCTCTTCGCATGATCTGGGACTTCTAAGGGTACCCTTTCCACTGCAGTCCCTCCTTGCTCTTCTCCTCCCCTTAAATAATGCCTTTGAAAGTTAGAACTTCATCTCCATCATGGGCAGCTTCTGTTGCATCAGGAGGGAGAGAGAGATACAGAATGTATTGATGCATTTGAAAGTTAAGAGTACTTTTTGAATCCTGGCCCAGATTATAGAATTTTGAATTTCTCTCTTTCTCCACCCCTTCTCTCCCTCCCTCTCTCTCTCTCTCTCACTCACACACATATACTCAAACACAAACACACCGAGCTCTCTTTCTGTTACTGCTCTTACTGCACATGCAAAGTCTTTATAGCTGGTGCTCACAACAGGCCTCTTGTCTAGCAGCTGTGGAAAGGGGAAATTTTATGTTGGGGATTATTAGGAAGAGGATTGAAAATAAAACTGGTGATAACATAATACCTTTATATGAACATATGGTGCGTATGCAGAACTGCATACAGTTCCGGTAGCCAAACAGGTTATTGAAGACCTGGAAAATGTTCAGAAAATGGTACTAAAATGTGTAATGTTGCTTGGTGTTTAGGGAGCACATAACCCTCAAAGTACAAATCCCCTTTCAGGTGATTTTTTAAAAACCCCCACATTCTCCTGGTTATGGATTCTGCCCTGAAGAGCTGGGAACAGTTTTTCCCAAGGCACAGGAAAAACAAAAGTGGTCAAATCCACAGCAAGTCCACATAGCTATTGGAATCAGCCAAAATGTCTTAAATCATGTGCAGGTGTTTTGAGTTCTCTAGAACTTTTAATTGGGGCAGGATCCTACACTAAGCAGTGGAGTGGAGGGGAGCTTTAAAATCTTTTAGTCCAGATCTTGAAGTCTTGAGACCAGAATTTCTAAACATCTTTTTGTCAAACACCACCTTCAAGGTTTTGCCTTTACTTAAGAGAAGATAGCTGTCAGCAGATGGTGTTTTTTTTAAAAAATAAAATCTTTCCTTGTTGAGGTTTTACCTTGGGGCTCCTGAATGTTGCAAATCAGGGCTTGTCTGACAGCTGGAGTGACACGTACATGTAAATGAGAACCTTAATGTGACAAAACACTCAACTGGAGCTGTCATCTTCATGACAGTTTCTGAGCATCATTTGATATAATATTCCTCTTAAAAGGGGTCAGCTTTTGCATCCTGCCCAAAATATTAATACAACCCCTGACAGAGTACAGTGTTTAATATTTCAGCCAAGTTGCCAGCGCAGCTAATAGTTCAGTAGCTCAATAAAAGCACACCCAGCTGCTGCAGTGCCGTGATGGTTTGTTTTCCAAATTAGCAAATGCAATCCATTAGACTTTGCTGGGAAACTGTATGTGCTAACCTAGAATTATGTTAAATGCAAGAATGCATCTCTTTTTGAGATGTTAAGTACTTTAAATTCACAGCTAAATAGACGCAATCCCTGCTACCCAGTTTACCTTTTCAGCTGAATCTTTTTCCTGTAAATAACCCCCGTGAATATAGGCCACTTGCATTTTCACTAGTTCAGATTTACAAATGTTGTCTGTACCGCTGTGTTCATTGCGTCTAGTGTGAATGCAAATAGTTAAGCAAATAGTTAAATGTAATAAGCAGTTGTAGCAGCTTTGGCTTCCAACGAGGCATGCAGTTCCATCTTTTGATGTGGCATTTGCTTCTAAAGCTTTTCAAAACCGTCCTGAAGGACACAAAAGTGAAGGATTGCAGAATTATACTTGGACTGTCTTTTCAATTAGGTAAATAGATTTTCCCTCCTTTGGTGTTTCTCTTTGTTTTTGTTATTTCAAGTGTTCTGTTTCTAAACTGCCATCTTGCCAAAGCACTCATCGTAATTTACGACACGAAGCAACAACATACAGAAGCCTTTTCCAACCAGGTGCCGGCCAGGTGTTTTGGGCTACAACTCCCATCCCAGCCAGCATGGCCAATGGTCAGGAATGGTTGGAGTCGTCCAAAATATGTGGAGGGCACCAGGTTTGGGATAAGGGATGAGAAAATAGGCGGGTAGGAAAGAGAAGGGATGATCAGTCTGTATGGAAAAATAAGTGCTGCTTGGGTTTTGCATGTTTATCCCCCTGTAAATGTCTTATAAATGTATAGCCCAGCCAGGTGATCATTGTCACTATCTCTTACTTCTAGATGGATTTGATGCCATTCATTAATAAAGCTGGCTGTGAATGCCTTAATGAAAGTGATGAACACGGGTTTGATAACTGTTTACGTAAAGACTCTACCTTCCTGGAATCAGACTGCGACGAACAGGTATTTTGCCTTCCAGAGAATATTGCATTATACTATCAAAAGGAGAAAGGTGTTCTTTTGGCTAGAATAATACTCCCATTTTTATGCATGTTTAAAATAATTCATCTGGGGGTCTACGTTCGTGGTGACCATCTGGGAAAGAGTAGCATTCTAAATTCATGTGCAGTAATGCTGTGGGTCAATGCATTTGAGATCCCTCTTATATATTTTTTTCTTTTGCTCTCTTCACAGCTGCTTATTACGGTAGCTTTTAATCAGCCTGTCAAGCTTTATTCTATGAAGTTTCAAGGGCCTGATAATGGTGAGTAAAAAGATTTCCTCTTTCAAGAGAAGCCATCTATGCATGCAGCTGCTGTTGATTTTAAAAATACGAAGCACAAGACACAGGTTCCTTGCCTGTGGCCCTGTTCTCTTGCTCCTAAGTCTTAAAGTCTGTACCTGACCATCAAGCACATTGCCGCCATACCATCAAGTTTCTGCAAATGCACCACCGGCAGTGCAGAACTTTGCAAAACAAACTGGCTACTCCAGTTTTGAGACCACTGGTATATTTCCAAGAATCTGCATTTACGAAATTATGTGTTGTGTCACTTTTGTCAGGTGACATGTCAGCATAGCTACCTTTTGGTATCATTGTTCTGAAGACCGTGGTTGCTAATAATGATAATTTCTGTTGCACCTGTTTTAGTTGGGTGTGGTACATATATTGAAATGAAGGCATGAGCTCTTCCCTGAAAAGGCTAGGGACACACTCCTCAGCAATAAGAATGGAGTCTTGGCAAGTCCAGTTAACTTTTTTCCCAGCTGAGGTTGGAATTGTGCTATGTGTAGTCACTTTAATGCTTTAGCCTGCTAAGGGTGAACTTTTGAATGCTCCCCATAACATGTAAAAGCCATACAGCCTGTAGCAACCTTCTCCAGCTCCCATCATCCCTGACCATTGACCATGGTGGCTTGGGCTGATGGGAATTGAAAGTCCTACAACTTCTGGAGACTGGAGAAGCCTGGTCAGTAGTGTTAAGTGCAGCCCTTACTAACTAAGTAAAGTTATACAATTTAAGTGAGTGAGGTGCTTGCTTCTGATAGAAGGTTCTTTGCCTCGGGGTGCAGATTGGACATCATAATTTGCCTGTCTCTTTTCTTCTGAATCTACATAATTTTCGTACACAGAACAACTTTAAAATACTGTCAAGTATATAAGATCATGTTTTGAGGGTTTTTAAAAGAGTCAGTGGCATTTTTTTTTAAATCACAGGTCAAGGTCCAAAGTATATAAAAGTGTTTATCAACCTCCCTCGATCAATGGATTTTGAAGAGGCAGAAAGAAGCGAACCCACTCAGGCCCTGGAGTTAACGCCAGATGATATCAAAGAAGACAGTATTATCCAACTCCGCTATGTAAAGTTTCAGAATGTTAACAGTGTAACTGTGAGTATAAACCTTCAAATTCGTTCCTGGTTAACAGAATCCTGTGACATTACAAAAGGCCGACTCCAAAGCATGGTAGATCCGCCAATAACTTTTGCCACTTCCACCATAGTTTCAATGCAGTGAAGCCCAGCTATGTTTTTTCCCCCTTGCCTCTTAGATACAGCAACTGGTAGGGATGGGAGCCTGGAATATTCAGGCTTGCCAGACCCAGCTCCTGTCAAGCTTGAGAGAGAGGAGAGCAAAGCAAAGTGAAGATGGGTCTGGGCAGACAAAATCACTCTTTTGCAAGCAGCAGCAAAAATCCCTTTTGTTTCGTAGACTAGTAAGAAAACCTGATCCAGTCCCATACAATCTATTTTCACCTGTTGTTTCCAAGAGGCTTATTTGAAGGTCTAGCTTTTTACCTTGATATCTACTTGTTACTTTGACTTGATTGTATTAATACAGTGGTCCTCGTTTTATAAACCTAATCCATTCCTGAAGTCCGTTCTTAAACCAAATCCATTCTTAAACCAAGGCGCGCTTTCCCTAATGAGGCCTCCCACCGCCGGTTCCCTTCCACTGTTCGGCTTCTGTTCGTAGACCGAGGCAAAGTTTGCAAACCAGAACACTACTTCCAGTTTTTCAGAGTTCGTAAACCGAATACAGTAGTTCATAAACAAGACTGTTCGTAAACCGAGGTACCACTGTACTCATCACTAGTTCCCCCAATACCCTCCCCCAAACTCTTATTTGGCCCTTCAACAGAGGTTGGGAAGGAGGCAGGGATCTCCTTTATTTGCACTGAGGGTTTCAGGAGGTCAGGATCGGCAGGATTCTTCTCACGCTTACTTTTTTCGAACCTCAGTGCAAATGTAGGCTCAGAGGACGGATTGCTTACTAGTTGGGCATCCTTCTCACCAGATGGCCAAGGGCACTTGACCCCAGCAAGCTTAGAAGTGGATTTGGTGAATAGTAGTGTAACTCACTCTTCTGGCCAGAAGGTGGTGACATCCTCTAACTGCCTGGTTCAAGCTCCACCGTGGACTTGAATCCTATAATTTAGTTAATACAACCCAAACATTTTCCATTAACAAAATGGGGTAACAAAAAGGGGTAGACTAGTCAGCCCTGTCCCATGTTCCCTTCCCTTTGCTTTTCCCTGAACTTCAAATGAGTTGACTATTTTGTGGGCTATTGGATCCTCCACATCATGTAACTCAGTACTGATCTTTTCCATTTCAGTTATTTGTCCAGTCCAATCAAGGTGATGAGGAAACGACGAGAATTTCATATTTCACATTTATTGGAACACCAGTCCAAGCAACAAACATGAATGATTTTAAGCGGGTATGTTCAAATCTGTCTTTTAAATTGGAGACTGGATTTCAGTTTTTAAAAGCTGCAAGGGAGAGTGTTAGCTGAACAGCTCCCCATAATTGTGAGTTCTGACTCTTCAAAGGTCTTCCATTCCCACTACAACCGATGTAGCCTTTTCGCTTTAAAAAAAATGAAGAGTGAAATTTGTCTTGGATATTCTGCCTTTGATTTTTATGAAGTGTCCAAAGAATGCACGGTGGCTTTAAAACGTTTGCAGAGCCAAATGACCTCTTAAGCCAGGGTTTTCCAGAATTGATTGCTTTATCTCCAAGAGGCCAGAGTTAAGAGGAGAGGGAGAAGACACCTGTGGCATCTAGCCTACTTTTCTATGGTTGTGAATATGGAACCATGTTCAGAAAAATACGAAAACCAACAGAAAACATATGTCTTCATGCATAATGTTATTCTGCCTCCAATTATGTAATGGCAGAATATAAGAAGCTCTGCTGGACAGTAGCAATAGAGTGTATAAAAAGTCAGCAACACAACTGGAAGGATAAGAGAAATTGTGATTCATGTTAGTCCTTTGATTTTTAGACGCCCTGCTTAGGTACTCTATAGTTTCTGAGCCTTTCCCAACCTGGTGTTTTCCAGATGTTTTCAACTAGACCTTCCACCACCCCTGACCATTGGCCATGCCTCATGGGTCTGGTGGGAGTTATAGATCAAAGCCTTTATAGGACACTATATTGAGGAGGCTGCTATAAAGGGTAGCAGTCTGTTTCTCCCCCAGATTCTTAGCTTGTGCTGCAAACCCACGGATGTGATAAATAATACTGGGCTGACAACAAGTGTGTCAACTACCTAAAAGGCAATGTTGCAAGGCAGAGGCCTCACCTTGTTAATCAATTAGCCTATACCAGATGTGGAGAACCTTTGGGCTTCCAAATGCTTCTGAACTAGAACTCCTTCCAGCCCCAGCAAGCATGGCCCAGTGCTGTAGTTGAGCAACATCTGGAGGGCCAAAGATTCCCCACGCCCACTCTGCATAGTGCAATTTAAATGAGGCTTTTGAAAGGAAACAAGATGTGATAGGGGCATTTTTGGGAATCCCTGACTTAAGAAGTGCATTTCAATATTGCAAATGTGCATGGTATTTTGTATGCAGACATGTTTGGAGCGAAGGAAACTCTTTTTCACAGAAAACTTGATCATTTGTCTCAAGTGATCAAGGTTGACTTGAGTTGCTGTGCATTGCCCACAAAAAAACTTCTTAACTGTTTGTGGTGTGTTTTAGTCTTCATGTTTGTCTGCCCGGTAAATTTTCTATACTCCATGTCAGGACCATTGAAAGAGCTTTTTCAGAGACTGGGCAAAAGTAGGAGAAATGTGTTGGCATTAGGTGTTCTGGGTACTGTAAGACAGAGCACAATAATAGAATAGAAGAGCTTTGGTAGCCAGTAGGAGAACAGATACAATGGAAAGCAGGGCTCCTGTACTTTTCATAGGTGTGTGGAAGTAATAGATTTTATTGGATGTAGCTTGCCATGCAAGAGAAAGAAAACCTGCACCTACTAAAATTATTACTTCTATGTATCCTAAAAGGCAAGAGCCTTTGTCCTTATGACAGTAGAGTTATCTGTCTGATCACTAACAGTGCAATTCTATATGTGTCCACTCACAACATCCTGTAGATTTCAATTCAGGAGAACTGTATAGGACTGCACCCTAAATCGTTGTAGTGAAAAATAATATATATTGCTTATCTAAACTGTGGTTTTTATGTGCACATACTGAGATAAATTGGGGTGTTAATGGTTCATTATTAAATAAACAATACTGAATATTTAAAGTTAAGTTTTGCAAGTTACTCCAGAGTTTAAAGGCAGGGATGGAACTAAATCCGGATTTTTAAAAGAGGTACATTCCTTTTTAGCGACTTAAGTTAAATGTGCATTGGAAAAGAAGGGGCTGCTGCTGCTTCTGCAAAGTGTTGCCCAGCATTCTTCCATGGAAAACTCATTTCTCTAGACAAGCCTGTCTTACTGGATGAGCTAGCTTGCCTGGAGTGTTCCTGGTGTGGCCCCCTCACCTTGCTTCAGCAGTTGTAGCATCTGTGTCTCTGAGGATGGAGGCCTGATGCTATTGCTGAGAAGATAAACCTAGCAGAGAAGTATCTGTCGTTATTGGTGCTGTGATGGTGGAAGAGGAGCTGAGAGAGCTCTCTGAATCGGAAGTGGTGACTAACAACTGAGGAATACTCCTGGGAATGGTGACTAGATGAGAAGCCATTGGAGGCCAGACAGAGCCATCAGGCTGTCATTTTTCCCTCCAGCCGTAGAGATACGCAACACTATGATATAGCTTAGCATCTATACGTAGAAGATCTGAATTGCCTCCAAAGGTCCAGAGCAAAAGCTTGGCTACATGGCATGCATGAAAAGTCGGGACAGGGAACATCAGACCCAGGGGTCATTTTGTGGCTCTCCACATCATTCTGTGTTCAACTTGAGAATGGGGCACCTTGGAAAATGCAAGACCAGCTTTATCGTATCAATAACGTAATGGAAGGACTTTGACTTACAGATGTATTCAGAATAGCAAGGAAAACTGATACTTTATACTGATACTTTATTCCTCCTCCCCATAGAGGATTGTGAGTTCTATAACTTCTCCAAACTTATGCCCCCCTCAAAATAGCTTCCCTTGCTAATATCTCTTAAGGTCCTAACATCTCCCTTCTTGCTTTAATTGGAATGTAGAGTAGACTAAAAGGCATCTGAAAGTATGACTTAAATTACACTGCCTGAAGTAACACCTAAGGGCTTTCATTTTTATTGTTGTAAGTTCTTCCATTGCTACCATAGTATTAAGTGAAGTCTGGGAATGCTTTGCTTGCTGCATGTGTTGCTCAAACTTTGCAGGCTTAAAATGCAGAGACGTGCGCGGGAAGACAAAGAGAGGGAGAGCAATCTTTGCTGCTTAGGTCAGAGTAAGGCTTGGCATGACCTTTTTCGTTTGCATAGATTTCATTGCTAATTCGAAATGTCAGATGTTGGGTTAAGTCCATATGGGGGGGGCAATAGAGCTCCTGCCACTCCCTTTAGCTTGGAGGACATCCCGGGTGTGCAATCGCATGAGATACGCAGCCAGCTTTTCTGTGGCATGGCGCTTCCATCCCTTCCTGTTCACTTCCTACGGATTTTCCTTTGCTTCATTGTAACGCTCTGTTTCATTACTTTTCAGCATTTCCCTGGCCCAAAGAAATAAAAATGCAGAAGATTTCTGTTTCTTAAACGGTCTTTCCTCACACCGCCCCTTTCCCCTGCTCCTTCCGCTCATCTAGCATCTGCCTTCTCCTTTCCATCGCTTGGGGCACCATCACATCCTGCTCTGCGACGGTTTTCCTGGGTCTCTTTGCTTTTTTTTATCCCTCTTTCTCATGGACTTCTTTTTGTTTTTAATATACCATTTTTTAAATATATATATAAAAATCTTCTTTTGCACACTGTTTTTGTCCTGCCCACCCCAAAAAAACCATCTCATTCTGTTATTAGATGCTTCAGAAATTCACCTGAAAGCACATTATTTGCACCTGTGCATCTTTGCATTCTGTATTCACTGTGAGTAATGGAGTTCGAAGAGGTCTGCTGTGTTCTCAACTGCAACTCTGGTCTGGGTGACCTGTGGCTAAAGTTTTCCTGATAGGGATTTTTTTCCAGCTCCTGCACTTGCCTTGAAGACTCTTCAAGGCAAGGAGGTTTTTCAGTCTCTCAAGGTTGAGCTGCCCTCTAATAACTTACATGAAGCTGCCTCAAACAGAATCACCATGGGGCCTTCTTAGGCCAGTGTTGGTTGTCCACTCTTGCACCAGCTCTCTGAGATAATCGTGCAGAGAAGATCCTGGCACTGAAACGGCGATGCTACGTGTTAACCGTGTGCTCTGTCACATGTGTCATGGGCTCCCTCCAAGGCAACCTGTGCCCTACATCCCTGTAATCTGGACCCATGGTTCAATCCGCTGAGAGCCAGTTTTGCAACCGTGTGTTTTGAAATACGATGCAGCAGCTGGTGTGAAAACTGAACGGGATGGTCCATCTTAGGGTTCACACTGCCACTTCAAAAATGATTGAGCAATTTAGATCTTATCTGTGGTGGACACATTCAAGTGAAGTAATGAAAAATGAGGTGGTATCTCGGCTAGAGTACAGCAGTGGTGAATGCTGCCTTATCAATGCTGCCTTCTTAATCTAATGAGGAAGAGTGAGCCCATTTCCTTGTTGAAAGAATCCTGCATTGTACATCCCCGTATTCTTCTGCCATTCGTCATCTGGAAATGCATTGCGTTCTGTGGCATGAGGACAGTATACGGCTAAAAGATGTATTGTAGCAAAATTGGGCAGGGTTATAGGGCATAGGGCATAAATCTGCCCACTTTTGAGTGTACAGCCAGTGTACAAGTTAATCCTTAACCGAATAAAGCAGTCAAGGGACCTCAAGTCACCCACCTGAGTGAAATCTGCCCCTTATGGAGAATGAATTTTTATGTGAAGTACACAGATAATAAGAAGCAGAAAGTGTGCCAGGAATAATGAAGTATTTCAAGAGGCGTTGCTCTGTTGTGTTTGAATTACCTTATTAGTCTCATGGTTGGAAATTGTTGGTGTAAAGTTGGGGGTTATAAATATGCTAACGAAACGTCAATATCAAAAATATTTAATTTTTCAGGTAATACACATGGGGCACTTGAGCATTTGAGCATTTCCCCCTCTGAATGGTATAGATGCATACAATTATTATTTTTTAATGGTTGCTCCACCTCTGCTAACATTATAATTGTCTAATTTCTGGGTGTACCTGCTTAATCCAAACCTGTAGCGCAATGCTTTAAGCGCTACCGAAGAATAAACATTTCTCTCTCGCCTTTCTTGGATTTAGTTTGCCTGTTTATAACATGCTTAATTAAATCTTAATTTGGTTGGTTGTGCGTGTTTTTTCACTCAGTGTTGTTTTGTGAGATAATAATTCTACATTGGCCTCTGCATTTGAGAATCAATTATCTGCATGTCACTATGTAGAACAATCCTTATCCCGCAAGGGTAGGCTAGCCTTAAGTTCCACCCCCTTGAAAGGGTGGAGCCATCATGACTTAAAGTGTGACTTCCCATAGTATTGACCAGCCTTCCCCAACTTGATGCCCTCCATATATTTTGGACTATAACTTCCATCAGCCCTTGCCATCGTCCCATCATCATCTTGATGACTAGAACTGGTGGGAGTTGGGGTCCACCACATCTGGAGGGCACCAGCTTGGGGAAGGGTGCTCTTGACCATGAGCTGAGATCCTTGATATCACTGGTGGCTTATAGATGTTGCACTTGAGAGTCTATCATCATCATCTGAACTATCTGAACTGTGTGCTATTTTTTAAAAAAGAAGAAGAAAGAAAATGCCTTCTTAAATGCACAATACTGTATGCTAAGTGAGACCTGTAGAATTAATATAAGCAGCACACCTGCCAAGGAGTTGCTAGCATCCCTCTCAGCCAAACACAAGAATGTTTACTATGGGATAGATCTGAAACAGTTTATTTTCTCTTCCTCAGTCTGATCTGCTGAAACAGTCGGCAGCAATAAAAAGTCCACATGTATTTTGTCACTAACATGATGACCAAGGACTGTATCTTATGTTCCCTTCCAGTGCAAGGGCTCTTTTGCAACAGCACTTCACTGGTTCAAAACATTTTGCCCGTGGAACAAGTCGTGCCTCTAAATGGCTTTAACTTAGCACTACATTTGATACAACCCCAAGGGTTCGTACTTTGCTTACACAGAAACCTGTTACTTGCTTTCAAATGTAATTTTGTTGCCCTTGCCACACAAAAAAGAAAATGGATTTATAGGTAGACCGCATACCAAATGGAAGGCATGTCTGCTTAGTTTGCATTGTGATACTAAGACCTTGCAGAACTTACTGATTTAAGTGAAATTTCTTTCCAATGCGTAACCTCCTAACAATGCGTACTCAGAAGTAACTCGACATTATTTCAATAGGGTTTACTGCCTGTAAGTATGCTTAAGCTTAAGGGCAGAGAAACTGATTCTGTTCCTCTCTGAGCTGCTGCATTCCTGCGTTCCCAGGAGGAAGCCTTGGGGCGTCAAACCACTGTATGTGCCACCAGTAGGAAATGCTGTGAAAGTTAGGAGGTGCCTTGTGAGTTTGCACACTGGTAATGACAGCGTATGCTGTTCCGGCCATTTTCACGCCAGATCCCACCCTGCTGCCTTAGAATTCAGTGCACAGAGACCCCATCATTCCAGAAATCTAGTCAATATTGACAAGTTGCCTCTCCCTGCAGTGGGCGTGTTGCATACTTGACAGATTTATTTCTGGTGGGCCAGCTCAGGTAGACCCGACACAGCAATACCTTTACATCATAGCTTACTCAGCCTACTCTGGGCTCCATGACATTATAGGACATTTAGAGATAGTGGTTTAGCTGTAAGCATCTGAACGTGGACACAAGTAGGCAAGTTTCTTGGATGGCCCCCCCTACCCTAGGTAGTTCAACTTTGGTATGAACATGTGGGGATTGTATTGCAGTCAGTATTTGAATAAGACCTTGCTTTATTGGCTGAGTGCATACTAAAAGTTACCCCATTTGATCCTCTGATCATTTTATTACTGGCTAAATTTGGTTTGCAAGAGGCACTGGGAACTGGCGGCGCTCCAGATGTTGGCTCATCAGCCCCAGCCAGTCAAGGGTGGCGAAAGTTGCAATCTAGCAAGAACTAGAGGGCCAGAAGTTCCCTGTCGCTGGTTTACAAGATCCCTCTCCCACTGGCGCTAGAATGCATGTTGGGGAGTCTCTAGAAGACTTGCTCTTTGGAATCCGTTCCCCTTTTTATTTGCCTAAGTTCTAACTCCACTTTTCTCTTTTCTCAGGTCGTAGGCAAGAAAGGAGAGAGCCACTAAAGTATGAAGAAAATGCTGGGAAGGGCCTTATTTACAATCAACATGGGATCTTCACATTTATTTCTAGCTCCTGGGAAATTGCTTGACCATAGCCAGAGAGACTGTCAGTCTGTTCCACTATAATACCATTACAAATAAATCACTGCATTTTTGTTAATACAGGATTTCACTAAAAAGTGTTTTCTGTTGTAATCTTGGGTCATAAATTTGTAAATAAAATCCATTAATTTTGCCAAGTTGTTTAGTGCAAGATTTGCTGTGTTACTTTGAAGGTGGAAACTGGACTCGGGCCTCCTCTAATTTAAATATATATCTTTTGCCGAAAATGTTTAAATAACCCTTCATTTTCCCAGTCTCTGTTTTTAGAGATGGTTTTTATTCCAAGCGATTGAGGCATATTGGTTCGTCTGAATTCTCGGCACACTTCCGTAGATCTTTGTCAACTGTCTGTCAAAGTAGCTTGCTTTGAAAACAGGGGACTTCAGGGTGTGGGACCAATGCCCCTTTGACCCCTTTCCAAGGTGAACTGCCAACAAATCCCATTGGCACAAGGGCTTCTCTGCAGGTGGCAATTCCAAGGCTAGGTGGCCACGGATTTGGCTGAGGGGTTTCCAGTTGCCGACCCTTATCAGGTTTAATAATAGATGCATTTGTCCCGGTTCTTGTATTGAACTGTATGTGTTCATTGAAAAAGACCTGAAGGATCTCTAACATGTTTTACACAAAGACTGGGTTTGCTGCTGCTCTTATCTCTTAGCTTATGCAAAGCTCTCTGGCTGTGGCCTCTTCCTCAGAGGAGTTTCCTATCTCCTTGTTTGCCGATAAATTGTAGTGGCTTTCCTGAATTTGTAGCAATCTTCAGATCAAATCATGTCTACTGTCCCTCTCAACTGGTGTTATTCAGAGACCCTTGTGTGGTTCTGCTACATGAGAGCAAGAGGTATTGGTGGCTCTTTCTATGCCGGGGTTGGGTTGGGGGGGGTGTCCTCAAATCAGATGGATGGCATGCCAGAAACATCACTAGTGCTCAGAACTTCTATGGTGATTCCTTTTTTGTGAACCGTCCTTGGCCAAGGGAGTTCCAATACAGTTCCAGTTTCTCATGCTTTGTAGCAAATTTGAATCTAGATCTCAAAACGAGCAGATCCTGGAGCAAGGTTTTGCATAGTTATGCCCCATACCTACCCGCTGTATTGCCTCATAGTGAGGTAAGATGCACAGGGCAATAACCAACATTGCATGAGCACACTTGCTTTTCTCTTTCTGCAACTTCCCATTCCTGCCACCTGCTCCAAAAGCTCCCCCAACCCTCTGGAACAGATTTTGGAGGTACATAGGGAATTAGCTCTGCTGTTGGGAGAGGCACAGTTGGATTTCACCCATAGTATGAATGTGGAGGCTGAATAGCTTTGTGTTCTGTCTGAGGCTAGTTTTGCAGAGTCTTCTTTCAGTTTTGCTACCTTCCCCCCAAATCTGACCTCTCTGGGAGAAGGTGATGATCAAATATTTCTAATAACGGCACATTAGGAGTCATGCTTCCCCCACCCAATGTTTTTAATAAACTTTTAGTGAATTCGCTTTATCTCTCTAGAATTTCATATAGAGAAATATTCAAAGCAGATAGTTATCTTTATTGAGGGATGAGTGTCTAGGCTTGATTGTTTTAAGCCTCTTTTATAAATCTCCTTGGCACAGCTCCCCATAAAGATTTTATAAATTGTGCATTGACCGGCACCATGCCCATATGAGGTTGGTTTCTAAGTCACAGTAAGTTTTAACAAAAAGGTTTTAATTGGAATAATTACTCTGTTGACTTAAATTGGTTGCATTTTCTCTGTACAATAAATCCCAATAAGAATTTAAATCCTACCGTAATTAGTATTCTGTAATTTCTATTTTCCTTTTTTTGTTAAATACTGCAGGCATTTTTGTCCTGCCTTGGCAGATTTAGGTATTAATACTTAACTTAATTCTTGTGCATAAAAGTTGGACACAATCCACTAGAAATGTTTCCTGCAAAAAAGCCCTTTTGGAAAATGGTTGGGACTTAGCTAAATTGCAGGTGAAGTTGTTTTGCTTACACACTTCCAAGACATTTTCAACAAGCGAGATCTGGAATGCATGTTGCATTGTGGAGTGTTGCTGATTAGCGTTCCAACCAGCTATGCCCCTTCCAGGCTATATCATTCCATTACCCTTCCCCACATTGTTCTCCCCTCAATTATCAGCATTCAGCTCCCACTAAGCCATATTTAGGGGACTGAGGCTTCCAACCCTTTAGGTTTTTATAGAGTTTTTTGTACATCTGCAAACCTTTGGATTCCTCCAAGCCTGTTGCTGCCTCTTTCATGTGTGAATGATGCCATTTGGACTGCAGAAGGAGCCACATCCAGATAATGAGTTTAATAGTGGTATATAGGTTGGAGTTTTCCCTGTGTGATAACTCCTGTGATGCTAGTGGTCTAGCTACTCTGCATCACAGTGTACCACAAGTGGTGTGAAAAGGGAGAGCTGTGGCATAGACCTGGTCCTGTGCTCCTTTGTTAAGAACATAGGACTCTGTAGCCCTCCATCTTGCAGGGCCACCGGTTCCCCATCCCTAATACAGGAAGAGCCCTCTTGGATTGGACCAAAGAGCCATAGAGTCCAACATACTTTTCCCAATAGCAACTAGCCAGATGTTTCTGGGAGCATACAAGCAGGGTTAGAAGGCAATGCCACCCCTGGAGAAAGCAACAGCTGGGAAGTGAAAGACAACGCCATATATGGACAGAAGGAATCTCCATGGATATAACAGTTCTCAGGTGCAGGGCAGAATAAAGATACTGGGGTACCTTGGTTCTCGAACTTAATCCGTTCTGGGAGTCCGTTTGACTCCCGAAACAGTTGGAAAACCAAGGCACGGCTTCCGATTGGCTGCAGGAGCTTCCTGCACTCAAGTGGAAGCCACATTGGACGTGTGGCTTCTGAAAAACATTCGCAAACCAGAACACTTCTAGGTTAGCAGCGTTCGGAAGCCGATTTGTTCGACAGCTAAGCTGTTCAAGAACCAAGGTACCATTGTAATAGTTTGAGTTCTTCACTTGAAGCTTTATAAATTTATATATTGTAACATCACGAATGGAAATAATAATTACATAGCTGTTGATTAAGGGGTGATTATTATAACTGAAACGTAACTGACGTTTATTAAGATTATGGAATGCAGTGTTATAAGATCAGAAGTGCACCCAAACCATCATGCAGGGAGCCACTTTAACTAAAATGTATTAATTAGAAGTTGATTGGCACTTTGATAATTGTATAATTTGGGGATTAATTGTTATTTGTTATAATTTGGCTATTATTGGAAAACTAATAAAAATGTTTTTTTTAAAAAAAGGAAGGCAATGCCACCCCTTTTACTTTCTCAGCATCTGGTATTCAGAAGTCCGTCTTGTGTCACAGCTAATAAACCTATCCAAGCCAGTGGCAATTGCTATGCTTGGAGCAATAAACTGCATGGCTTGGTTCTGTGCTATGTGAAGAGTAGCTTCCTTTACTCTGTCCAGGATGTAATTGTATTGGGTGGTCCTAAACCTCTGCCCTGTCTCTTTAGTCATTGTGCTTAGAAGGGTATCTTTACATTGGTAAATATATATTTCTGATATAATGATGGCAATGTAAATGACTGTTCCTGAACCTACCTATAACTTTATACCGCTAACTTTCTTTTTGGGTTATTGTTGAAGTGCCTCATCTTAAGTATTGCTGACCTCATATTTATACCTGGAAAGATTTGTTAACATGGCAATTTCCCCCCTCTTTGAACGAGACGTGTGTGATTTTATATGGTCTGATGCTCTCTTGTGACTTGTTCCTGTTCCCATCCATGTTTTAATGACTGTTAATCCTGCTGAATCAACAGGACTTTCTGTAATAAATCAGTTAATATGAAATGTGTTAAAACAAACGCTTCATACCTCTATAGTGAAATCTTGATGGGGGAGAAGTGTCACACCTGAGTGAAGTTGTTAACTTGTTAACAGTATATTCTGGATAAAGACAGCAGGTGATGGATTTTGTGGTAAGAAAATAAATCTTGAACAAGTTACTGTTTCTTTTACTAAAAGGGCATGGATGGTATGGTTATAAAACAACTTTTAAGTATAGTAAGTAAGCAAAAAGGTTACGAGATACAATCCTTGCATCCACTGATTCTTGTTCTCAATACACACTGACTGGTGGTGGTGTTAGAAGACTGGTGTTGCACTTCCAGAGAGTAACATCTGATACATTATTGTGGATTTCCCTACAACTCGTTTTCCCTTTTATGAGTTAAGTCCTATGCACCTGTTTTAGTTGGGTTCCCAAGTATGCATACAGCGAGAACGCAAGAAGGCATAGCTTCTACCTCTCCTGCATGCCTTCCAGTAGTGTCCCCCTGCCAATTTTCATATCGCATATAGGTACATAATCACACAAGAAGAAGTTCGGCTCTTTACCTCCTATCAGCCCCAGCTGCCGTGCCCAATGACCAGAAATGTTAGGAGTCGCAGTCCAGCAATGCCCAGAGGACCAAATTTGAGTATATGCAAGAGCACAGATCTCTATCCCTGGGCTACAAAGGGAATGATGGTTCGTATCAAAAGAGAGGCTTATCCCTTTTCCTGTGCTGGCCTTGTTACCATGAGCAAAGCTGTTCCACATATCTCAATGTCTGAGATTTCTTGGGATTCTCAAATTTGGCTACTACAGGCAAGTACAAGGGGAGTCCTAGGAGTAACACAGTTGCCCGCAAAGCATGGTATCATTGAAGACACATCAGCTGGGAAATTAGCTAATCTCTATGGGTGTGGGTGTAATAGAAAATCCAATCCAATCCAGGAAAAAGATTCCTGTGTCCTAGCTCATTACAGTAAAAGGGACCCCTGACCATTAGGTCCAGTCATGACTGACTCTGCGATTGCGACGCTCATCTCGCTTTATTAGCCGAGGGAGCCGGCGTACAGCTTCCGGGTCATGTGGCCAGCATGGCTAAGCCACTTCTGAAGAACCAGAGCAGCGCACGGAAATGCCGTTTACCTTCCCGCTGGAGTGGTACCTATTTATCTACTTGCACTGTTGACTTGCTTTCAAACTGCTAGGTTGGCAGGAGCAGCGACTGAGCAACGGGATCTCACCCCGTCACGGGGATTTGAACCACCGACCACCTGATTGGCAAGTCCTAGGCTCTGTGGTTTAACCCACAGCACCACCTGCGTCCCCTGCTCATTACAGTAATAAAGGCTTATTCTTAACCAACCCCATCAAGATGTAACCAAAAAGGCATAATGCCATCTTACAAAGGAACGTTTGCAGAATGGAAAGCAAAACATGTCATAGGTGCATTCTTCCAGTTAAGTGTCGTCCTCCCCTATATACTTAGCTCTTAATTCCTGTAAGGAATCAACAAACATCTGTTTGTTTAAAGCATTTTTATCACACTCTTAAGCTGAAAAATATCTGGGAGGAGCTAACAAAGACCATTAGTAAGACAGGTCCCTGCTCTTATGTTTACAGTCTCATGGGTGGGGTGGAGAAAGGGGAAAAAGCAAACTCAGATCAAATATAAAGACAGTAAAGCTGTCTGCATGTTGTTAGATTTCCATCTTTCATCAGTGCCAGCCAGTATAACCAGAAATGAGAGTTACAATGCAGCAATAGGGACCCCTCACTCTTATGCAATAAGGGTAGGCTTCACTTTATAGAAATATCCATCAGAAGACATAATCATTGCTTGCATACTGCCTTTCCAACGTTAAGCCATGCTCAAGGCAGCTTATAACATTAAAAAGGTTTACAGCATTATAAAAACAAGACGATTCGAGTAGTGGAAAACAAAGAATCTCACTAAGTATGCAATGCAATTAAGCAACTCCTGTATTAATAAAACCTACCAATAAGCTACCAACATCAATAACAGCAAAAACAAAACCCAAGCAGAACTAAATTTTGACCTCAACAAAAACTTCCGAAGAATATCTTATGCCGATAGTGGATAGAGGTGTAATCTACTTGGATAAAGAGGAGGGATGGCAAAAAGCAAGGAAGTCTCAATACTCTCCATATGTTCACCAGGTGTTGAGAGCAGGAAATGCTGTTCCATGGTAACTGACCTTTCCGTGGGCTGTGTTGTAAAAGTGAGCATGGCATCTTCATGAAATATAGCCTATCATGCTTATAGAGGTAACAGGCAGGCTCATCAGACGTGTAAGAAACAGAATGGTGTCTAACAAGTTTTGGTTGGTAAGTAGCCCAAGTCCCAGAAGAGTGTGTTCTACATTTGTTGTATATTGGCAGGGAGTATGGAAATCCTTGAGCATATGCAGTAAAATTAAATCGAGGCCTGCAACATTTGTTTTGCAAAAATTGGAAGCTTCTGATTGGCTTGGGATCACCTGGGGATCTGTTTTGATTAAAGGTCCATCAAATAAAGCAGGCGTCTATGACCCAGTGCCTTCTAGATGTTTGAGACCTCAGCTCCCGTTGGCTCAAGGCAACCTGGCCTTTGGTCAGGCAAAATCATAGAACTGGAGAGTTGGAGAGACCCCGAGGGTCATCTAGTCCAACCCCCTGCAATGCAGGGTTAGGGTTAGGGTTATTTCCACTAAAGCATCCATAACAGATGGCCAGCCAACCTCTGCCTAAAAACCTGCAAGGAAGGAGAGTCCACCATCTTCTGAGGGAGTCGGTTCCACCATCTAGCAGCTTTTGCTGTCAGAAAGACCTTCCTGATGTTTAGTAAGAATCTCCTTTCCTGTAACTCAAGACGAAAGGGAGAAACGTGCTAAGAGGAAGGCACGCTTGGCAAATCCACACCGTGATCAACTCCTGCCCGGAAACCAATATCCCCACTGTGGAAGGATGTGTGGATCCAGAACTGGCCTCCACAGTCACTTATGGACTCATTGCTAAAACCGTGTTTTGGAATACAATCTTACTAGGCTTCGAGCGATCGCCAAAGAAGAAGAAGACCCTCCAGAGCAGAAGAAAACATTATCTGCAGGTTGGAGAGAGCAGAAGCAAAGCTTTCCCTGAAGAGAAACCCTTCAAATGTTGCAAAGATTGTTTTATTGCTGCTGCACGGATTTTACTAGCCAAAAAATGGAAAACACAAGAACTACCAACGGTAGAAGAATGGCAGATGAAGATGATGGAGTTTATGGAGCTGGCTGATCTCACCGGGAGAATCCGCGACCAGAAAGAAGAGGAATACCAAGAAGTTTGGAAGAAATTTAAAGACTATTTGAATAAATATTCTAATATTAAAGATATGTAATCACTTGAAAGTATCAATTAGGCCTAGGATTAAATTGGGATTAAATAAATAAATAAATAAGAAAATGTACGATAAGAAAAGTTAGGAAATATGATTATGACTGTGATATGGTTTTATGAAATAATGATATTGGAAACTGCTATATATAATTACTAAGAAATTCAGACGGAAGAGATTTGAGGAAGCCAAGTAATATGTTTATGTAGATGGATTTTGATTAATTAATTAAGTTTTAGTTTATGTGGTGATTTGATGTATTTTATGCTTTATGTTCTTTTTCCTTTTTCCGTTTTATTCTTTTCTCTTTATTATTGTTGGCTTTTTCTTTTGTTACGTTTATGTATGGAAAATAATAAATATTACTATTATTTTTAAAAAAGATTGTTTTATTGACATGTCCCCTGCACAGCCCATAGGAGGCAAGCAACATTGTGCTTATAACTGCTTGAGAGGAAATGCCTTAGAAAATTTCTCCGAAAATTAAAGTACAGAGGGACTTGAGTAGTCATGGGACACTTCGAATTATTTTAAATTTGAAGTAAGAGCGCTAGTGGCTCTGCCAACCCCCAACCTTTATCCTGTTTACTCTTCATTTAACAGCATAACCATCCTTTTTTTCACCCACTAGATGTCACTACCTGCACAGGGCATTTCAGACATCTATCTCTCGCCTTCCTAGCTGTGTTCTGTTTATCTTCTCCCCCACCTCGCCCAGTCACCCTTAGCGAGAAACAACTGGCAACAGATTCCAGAGAGGGTACCATTTTATTCCCTCCGACCTCTGCCTCTGTGGGCCATTAGAAAAATGAGTTCCAGTCCAAGGGGTGGTTTCTGTAGTGGTTTTCCTTTTTAATTATTTCTTTTTAAAAGTCCAGGTATGGAAATGCATAAGGTACGGCTGTTCCATCGGCTGACTTCTGGACAAGTTTTGCAGCAGTTGCTCTGAGCCTGAGATTAGGTCATTTTATTATTATTTTTCAGAAGTAGGTGCTGTTCCAAAACAAGGCAGTGCAGGTTCTGTCCAAGAGCTTACAATAATTAAGGCACAGCAAGCAGCAATAGCACCACTTAGACAACAGCACACAATCGACTTATTGATGCCATGGGAATCTGATTCAGCAGCAGAAGATAAATTCCTCCAAAAAAAGGGGGGGGAAAGGGATTCTCTTCCCAGTAGGTTAAACAATGAATAAATAAACCCAAGAGTGTCTGAACTCTGGATACAAAATGGTGCAACAATTGCTTCTTTTGGCCTCTCCCCATTTTAGAAATGTGTGAAAATCATTTGTTTGGATTTTGAAGATCAACATAAATTAAATTATATATTTGAGTGGGACGCGGGTGGCACTGTGGGTTAAACCACAGAGCCTAGGACTTGCTGATCAGAAGGTTGGAGGTTTGAATCCCTGCAACGAGGTGAGCTCCCGTTGCTCGGTCCCTGCTCCTGCCAACCTAGCAGCTCGAAAGCACGAAGTGCAAGTAGATAAATAGGTACCACTCCAGCGGGAAGGTAAACGGCATTTCCTTGTGCTGCTCTGGTTCGCCAGAAGCGGCTTAGTCCTGCTGGCCACATGACCCAGAAGCTGTATGCCAGCTCCCTCGGCCAATAAAGCGAGATGAGCGTCGCAACCCCAGAGTCGGTCACGACTGGACCTAATGGTCAAGGGTTCCTTTACCTTTACCTATTGTTCAAAGTAAGGAGCCAATTATAGAAAATTGGATGCACTGACAGTCAGTGGATATTTAACGAATGTTTATGTTGTCATATGATGCTTATAAAAAAAAACTTCTCT